AGGTGACTCGCCGCCCGACCAGAACCAGGCCCGAGCGTACAGCACGTCGCGTTCCGCGCGCGTCTGAGTGTCAGACTGTTACTGAATTAAAACCACCCCGTTCCTCCTGCTCCACCCTCTCGCCTCACCCGAGCGGGAGAAGTCATTGGATGATTTTACCTCTCAAAAAAAGAAAGACCATCGATTTTAGAGCACCCATCTATCTACCTATAGTCAGAATTTTAATTAGATTCCAGATTTGACAATAGTCAACATTAGAATATTTGTGTTGACATATTGCTAATTCTGTAGTTATTTACTATTTAAACTGTCAAACACCAAGCGGTCACCGGTGACCGCAACCTATTGTTCTATAATTGTGTCTACAAAACCGGTACTCGACGAGTTAATAGATCGAGGCATTATTTCACATCGGTGCATCGTCTCTGATAAGGCGCAGTTTTGGCTACGTCTGTAATACTAATCTCATCTTTAAGCAAAAGAATATCAGTACCAGTTACTCCCTTCCTTGCATCCAGCGGCAGACGTTGAATACCAGGATGTTTATAAAGCCGGCTAGACCCTTTAGCACCACAATACCATATCAAAATATATCCATCACCAATTTAGAATATGGTGTGTATTCTTATTTAAATTCACTTGACTCCAGAATAGTTCGTGTGTTCAATGAAAGTCCAAAATAAAATAGGTAAAACTTTGTGTTTATATTGTTCTAAAGAAATACACAATTCACAACTAATCTAATATTACAAAATATTACTAGTTAACACCAAAGCTGGGAGACGACAGGCGTACTAACGCTATAGGGGCGCAGGAGCAGCTACGCACTTGAGAAGACATAAAAATCAACACATTAGTTTAGTGTTGCCACAAGTACTTACGCAGTTTTGCGCCTAGTACTAGTTCAGTCAGACCATGATGCGGATCGTTGTGTGAAACTGGGAAATTGTCTTCTCGTTCTGCGAAGTAGTTATGTATGCTATAGCAAAGCAGCAGGCGGGCCACGTGAGGGATAGAACCTCCCCACGTCTCAGTCGCCGCAGGAAACGCAGCTTAGAGCAAGTGTTGAAACAGGGTGGTTTTTAGTCAGTTTGTCACTCCCTCCTGAATCATTTAATGACTTTCCCCACCCACACAAAAAAAGGGGGGCGATATAGCTAGCGAAGGGCCTACAGTCCTGGCCTAAACCCTAACGATTTCCTTACATTAATAAAAGTCTTCCTGGTCAAAGGTTTCAAGAAGCAGTCGACGCGTTCAAATTACCCATTTTAACCCCACTTTAGAGAGGAATAAATGTTACAATCATTGGTTTGAGCGAATGGAAGTGCATTAAGCTACGTGGAGAATACTTGGCTTGAATCGATCGATCGATTCGAATTCCACATGAAACAATTACGCGAGTATTCGAAGACATTATAATTACCTACCTGTCTCATTGTAAGGTCCAGTTAGATCCTTACACTATGTTTTGTAATTGTAGAAGCTTACAGAGAAGATCACAAGTTATAGTTGCTAGTTACGTATATTAAGTTTGGTAAAGTTACAAATAAAGTAGTCGTGTTTCTTTCGTTGACGTTGTTCGGTAGATAAAGTACTACTACAATAATTACTGTAATATACTAGCTGTTGCCCGCGACTTCGTCCGCGTAGAATTTCTGGCAAAATTTAGGCTTTTGAATTTGTCTTTATCAAGAGATATTCTACGGTAACGAATGTCGTCAGAATTGATTCAATAGGTACCTAGATCATCCCGGACATATGTATGTGTGTAGGCAGACAAACAGACCACATTTTTGGCTTCGGTATCGATAGTAAATCACGCTCCAAGTATTTGAGAAATGGGGCTCCTTAGAGAAATCAGTCAGGAATAATGCATACTACCACCTCTTCTAGGATTTAGGTCGACTTAACCTGTAACCCTGTATACCTCTAAACATCACGACTGTCTCATATGGGGAAGGTAGAGGACTATTGGATGCGAAACGTTTACACAAGTAAACTATTCACTCGAGATAAAATGCCTTCAATTGGCATTGATTGGGTGCACCCAGAGGGCCTACACACGTACACGAGTTTAATTTCAGAGCTAAGCGATACCGGGTTTAGCTCTCTGATTGGTTGGTTTTTGGAACAGAGAGTAGAATTCGCGTTCCGCGCGCGCCTCAAAGAGCCATTACGGATGGGGCCCAATAGGGCTGATGCCAATACGGAGTCGCGGAGGCTCCGGCTCGAAGTGCAGGAGTAGGAACGGGGTGGTTTTTAGTCAGTAAGAGTCTGACACTCCCTTCCGCCTCACGCAGGCGGGAGAAGTCATCCGATGATTTTCCCCCCTTAAAAAAAAGAGGTCAATCAGAGCATCGAACACGGTAATGACGTAAAAGAAACTCGTAATAAGTTCCCTTCTAGTAAGACAGCCTCTGGCAAGGAAGGAATGGGTGCTTATAAGTACCTAGACATCTGCCTACCCCTTAAAAGACAATAAGTGTTGTATCACTGGGTGTTACACATTTAAAAATACAGAAATTAAAAACATATTTATGTAAATACAAAATTTTATTCTCACAGATTAACAATCACAGTACTTGAATATTTTAATAAAAACATAATAAGGTTTTTCGCCGATAGAGGCGCTAGTTAGACATAAGACTTGATTTTACACCAGCGCTTCTGAATTTCTGACCATTCTAAAATTCCTAATCCCCAAAAAGCCGATAACGCTATTGTAACGCCGGTGTTGGTCCATAAGCCGCGCCGATTGCTTACCATCAGGTGATCCGTCTACTCGTTTACCGGCTTATGCCATAAAAAATGGCCACCTGGTGAGAGCAAAAATCAACGTAGTTTTTTTAATGGCATAAGCCGGTAAACGAGCAGACGGATCACCTGATGGTAAGCATTCAGCGTCGCCCATGGACACCTGTAACACCAGAGGCGTTACAAGTGCGTTACCAGCCTTTTGGGGAATTAGGAGTTAGAGGATCGTTGGGGATTCAGGAATTGGGGAGATTGGGGAAGGGGAGGGTAATTGGGCCTCCGGTAACCTCACTCACACGACGAAACACAACGCAAGCGTTGCTTCACGTCGGTTTAGTTTCCAATACTTTGTCTTCACTGGTATTTTTTTCTTTTGTTGTGAATGATAAACACATAAACTGGTAATATAGATGGATCATACGATACAATTTCAAAACATTAAGAATAAAAAACAAATACAAACAATATTTTTTGTTTACAAATCAAAACAGGAGCCTTACTCTTGAATCCAATTCCGATCGATCGACATTGGTATTGTGAAATTTCGTACTCTTGAGTTGCAACACTAGCGCCCATTGCATCCGTATTGCGTGGATATTGAATGAACTAAATGGTATTGAGTTTGGCTTTATATTCCGTACTCTGAATGCTATTGTAACAGCTACGATAGGGGTTGTATAGTGTTGACATTGAATAATTATTGAGATTTTATTGGATTGAAATTGCATTGAGTTTGATATTTCAAGAGTATGACCCCAGAACACGTTACATTCCCGACATCTATAAAACTATATTTTTATAATAACTATCGTGAGACATACTAAAAATTAACTAAAAATCGCGGATTACTCACGTGAATATCCTGAGAAAAGCTCTACTAGTTTCGAACCACAGAGGGGTTCTTCCTCATGAGCAGCGTGCGCGGTCGCGGTGATGTCAGTAGGCTGCGCGAACCCCTTTGTGGTTCGAAACTAGTAGAGCTTTTCTCAGTATATTCACGTGAGTAACCCGCGATTTTTAGTTAATCTATAAAACTATAGGTCCTCATTGTTGCCTTGCCGATACTAAGTTAATGATAAATGCCTATTTCCACGCACCACTACCAAACCATCTCATTACTAAGAGTTACTTAGCGTGAGGGAGCACTTAAACCTGTTATTGCTAACAAGTTATAGGTCGCCGTTTCATCAACTACCCCTAAACCATCAAAGAGTAACTCGGTATGATTTATTATATTAAACTGTCAAACACCAAGCGGTCACCGGTGACCGCAACCTATTGTTCTATAATTGTGTCTACAAAACCGACAACGAGTTAATTGTCATGTCTTCGACTTACTCACGTAGTAATTCGACGAGGAACTCGACTAGTTTCAAGCCATGCTAGAGGCTCATATTCATGAGCAGCATTTCGCGACCTGCGATGCGGCGACTATCGCACTGCTACTGGGAAAGCTGCTCATGAATATGAGCCTCTAATAATAATTACACTAAAAATAATAATGCGTCGACTGTCGCGCTGCTATATCGGCGACGGCGGCGCGCGTGGCACTGTCGGCTCGCTAGACTGCGTACCACGCATGGAAGAAACCGCGCGTGAATCACGGCAGAGGGCGCGCTGGGCCACAGACTCGAGTAGCCAGTAGTAGCGCGAAATACTGCTCATGAATATGAGCTGCTAGCATGGCTTGAAACTAGTCGCGTTCTTCGTCATATAATTACGTGAGTAAGCCAAAAACATAATAATTTATTTAGTATGTCTCACGATAGTTACAATACAAATGTTAATTGTCACTTTTAATCATGTTGGTGACAGTCAAATAATGTCGTTAAGGGCTTAACCCGTTGATATCCATCCCCTAAATTTGGTCATACAAAAGTATTCTCTAAACATTAGAAATAAGGTCTATAATGTAATGTAATATTAGTGGAAAGCGGTCACCGGTGACCACTTGGGGATTTATGGGTTAAGGATCACCTATCTTAGCTTCGGTGTTCCTTAAAATTTAAGAGGTTGGTAACAACGCGCTTAAGTATCAGCTTAAATCATTGTTTTAACGAACATTAGTCCCTGCTAATACAATCAACATTTATGTATAAAATCACATTAAAAAAAAACAGTTCCAAAAATTACATTTTCTCCTGTGTCGTGGGTGCGTTTACAAACATACAAGTTCACATACACAGTGACACCCAGACCCGAAACAACAATTTGTGGATCACACAAAGTGTTGTTCCGTGCGGGAATCGAACCCGCGACACATTGCACGGCAGCCAGTTGGCCAACCGTGCAGTCATTATTTATTATTAAACATAAACTAATTATTTCTTCAACACCATTAGAGGTTCGTTTATGTCAAACGCAGAGACTAGTTCCTGGAACAAAAAAAAAGAAAATTGTATTATCTGTATCGCCGAGTGGTTGGATTCCCGGGTCGGGTGTTTTTTTTTATGGCATTAGCCGGTAAACGAGCAAACGGATCACCTGATGGTAAGCAATCGGCGTCGCCCAGGGACACCTGGAACACCAGAGGCGTTACAAGTGCGTCACCGGCTTTTTGGGGATTAGGAGTTTAAGGATCGTTGGGGATTCAGGGATTGGGGAGATTGGGGAGGGTAATTGGGCCTCCGGTATCCTCAGTCACACGACGAAACACAACGCAAGCGTTGCTTCACGCCGGTTTTCTGCTCGGCCGTGGTATCACTCCGGTCGAGCCGGTCCATTCGTGACGAAGCATGGCTCTCACACACTTAAATGGTGTGGCAGTAGGTTTATTGGAGATTTTTGAATGAAATAAAAATCTATTTAGTTACATAATGAAAAAATAGGTATAAGGGTGCATCCGTTGGCCGAGTGGTCTCGGGTTCGATTCCTAGCTCGGGCAAAATATTACTGTTTTTTTTTAAGAAATTCTCAGTAGTAGCACGGAATCTGGAAATGTGTCCGGTATATGGCAATAGACTCACCCAGTGGGACTAATAACATAAATAGTGAAAAGTGGGTGTTACATTGTACAGTGGCATTAAGTGCCGTAATGTGTACCTCTGCCTACCTCTTCGGGGATAAAATGAATGATGTTATGTTATAATTATATGCTTTGACTATATACCTGCCACCTCCGCATATCAATGGATACTATGAACTGTTTCTCCTCAGTTTTGTTCAATTCTTGTTGTTCCGTCGACAAAGGAGTTATGAAGGGCAGACCGTGGTCCTTATCTGTAAAGATCATCATCATCATCATCATCAACAGTCCATAAATCCCCACGAGCAAAGCCTCTTCTCACACGGAGAAGGTTTGAGCATTAATCACCACGCTTGCTCAATGCGAGTTGGCGATTTAAAACTTATAATTAGAAGTTTATTAGAGTTTCTTGCTCATTCTTCTCCGCTCAAATCTACTTTTAGGGACCAACATCTAGTTTCACTGACAGACTATTATTTAATTTGTATTTGTTGACGTTTCTAACCGAAAACTGCCTAGTTGGCTGAGTGGTCGACTACCGGGCAAGGGGTCTCGGGTTCGATTACCGTGTCGGACAAAGTATTACTGGGTTTTTTTAAAATTCTCAGTAGTAGCACGGAGTCTGGTATTGTGCCCGGTATATGGTATTAGGCTCACCCCCTATTACATGGGACTCATAACATAAATAGTGAAAAGTGGGTGTTACATTGTACAGTGGTATAATGTGCACTTCTGCCTACCCCTTCGAGGATAAAAGGCGTAATGTTATGTTGTTGACGTTTCAAAAGTACCAATTTATGGTTTATTTGAAATGAATTCTTTTCGTTTGAGTTTTTGACTCACCTAATGTAATAGAGACCTTCCCATCTCTGACAAGGAAAGAGACATTGTAGATATTCTCCACGCTCCGACTGAAGCTGGTGGGGTCGAGCACGGCGTGGAAGTAGCTGAGCGGCCGACGGTTTTGCTTGTACCATTTGTTTATAAAGCGGTGCACTCGCATCACCATCGCTGAACCTTCTTCTTGTTTTTCTAACCTGTGAATTTTAGTAACATGATATAAATAAATTCAACATAACATAACATTAAGTAAAAACGCGTGTTACTCACGTGAATATACTGAGAAAAGAGAAGAAGAACCACAGAGGGGTTCTTCCTCATGAGCAGCGTGCGCGGTCGCGGCTCTGTGGTTCGAAACTAGTAGAGCTTTTCTCAGTATATTCACGTGAGTAACCCGCGTTTTTACTTAATTTAGTATGTCTCACGATAGCTATTATAAAACATAACATAACATAACATCACGCCTTTTATCCCATAAGGCAGCGGTCGGCAACACGCGGCCCGCGGGCCGCATGCGGCCCGCGGGCCAAAACAAATGCGCGACGCGGGCCCGCGGGACAAATGAGCGACGCGGCGCGCGAGTGTAGCGCGGAAGTACATCGCCGCTGCGTCCCGTCCCCCCCGCTCCCTCCGATTTTGTGGAGTGAGCGAAGTCTTGCTGCCGGCGCCCCGTGAATCGCTCGCTTCGTTGCGTGATCAGTGAAACAAGTTATTTAATGTGTGCTTTGTTTTAATTTCGGTAAGTGTGATATTCCTATTTATTTTCCTTCCTATTTATTCCATCTACGTAAGTTAGCGATTTGAAACAAATGCATGGCAAAGCGTTTGGTTATTTAATGAGCCACTTCAATAGTGGGTATTGACTGCTTGTTGTTTAAGTGCCACTTCGCATTCGCAGTAAGATCGCTCACGTAGGTCGCCGTGACATGTTTACTACAAGGCAATGCTTTTATTGTTACAGTTAATGATGGCTTCGAAAAAAAGGAAAGTAATAGAAGAAAATCGGGTATTTAACGATGCATGGACAGATTTGTATTTTTTTGTTAATTGCAATGGCAAACCGCTTTGCTTAATATGCCAAAAGACTATTGCTATGCAAAAAGAATATAACCTCAAACGCCACTATGATACCGAGCACAAAGTCAAATTTGCATGCCTAGTGGGTGAGTCACGAAAAACTAAAATTAACGCACTCAAATCTTCAGTAAAGAACCAACAAAATGTTTTTAAGGTTCAAGTCCAAAGTAACGAGTCGAGTATACGTGCAAGTTTAAGGGTAGCGGAAATTCTTGCGAAGTCTGGCCGACCGTTTACCGACAGTGAACTAATAAAACAATGTGCCTTAGTTATGGCTGATGAGGTGTGCCCAGATCAAAAAAAGAAATTTGAAAATATAAGTCTTTCTGCAAGAACGTGTACCCGGCGAACTGAAGATTTGGGCGATAATTTATATCAGCAACTTCGGGAAAAAGCACAACAATTTGAATGGTTCTCTTTAGCTACCGACGAAAGTAATGACGTTTCAGATACTGCTCAGCTTTTAATATTTGTTCGCGGAATCGATAGAAACTTTAATGTCTATGAAGAGCTTTTACAGTTATGTAGTTTGAAGGGAACGACTACAGGGGAAGATTTGTTTTGTAACTTAGGACAAGCGCTAGAATCGATGCAATTACCATGGGGAAAATTGGTAAGTGTAACAACTGACGGAGGCAGGAACATGAGTGGACAAAATAAGGGTTTGGTAGGTAGAATTAAAACGAAACTGGCAGAGATAGGATGTAACATCCCACTATTTTTTCACTGCATTATCCACCAAGAAGCATTATGTTCCAAAGTCGTATCTTGGAAAGAAGTAATGGACATCGTGGTAGCTACTGTAAACTACATCAGAAAAAATGGGTTGACTCATCGTCAATTCCAGCAGTTTCTGGCAGATACGGAAGCAGATCATCGAGATGTTCTTTATTATTCTGAGGTGAGATGGTTAAGCAGAGGTGCAGTACTGAAAAGATTTTTTGATCTCAGAAAAGAAATCAACACTTTTATGAATGAAAAAGGCAAACCTATTCCACAGCTAACAGATACTCAATGGTTAATAGACCTTGGATTTTTGACAGATATAACTCATGAATTAAATACGCTGAATATAAGGCTTCAAGGTAAAAATAAACTAATCTCTGATATGCACACAGACGTAAAGGCATTCCAAATGAAAAATAGACTCTTTATAAAACATATTGATGAAAAAAAGTTAGATCATTTTCCGAATTGTAAAACGGCTGTCGAAGAAGCTGGAATTAATTTTCATTGGAAAAGTGATAAAATGAAAGATATTTTAATACAGCTGCAAACTCAATTTAGCGACAGATTTTGTGATTTTGAGAAAGTTTCAAGCAAACTGAAGATTTTTGCAAATCCTTATTCGTGTGATGTTGAGGATGTACCGATTCATTTACAAATGAACGTGATTGATCTTCAATCTAATGATACTCTCAAAAGCTCTTTCTATGAAATCAATGATCTTGTTAAATTTTATGCTAGCTTGCCATCTGATTTTGACGAGTTGAAAAAGTTTGCTAAGCAGTTCATTACAATTTTTGGTAGCACTTATTTATGCGAACAAACTTTTTCAATTGTCAATTATAGAAAAAATAAATATGCTTCTCGTCTCACAGATGAGCATTTGAGAGCCATTCTACGAATCGCAACTACAAATATGACAGCTAACATACAAGAAATAGCCTCTCAAATGCAACCTCAGACATCACACTAAAATTTGTGTAAAATCAGTTTTCTATGTAGGTAGTTGGTAGTTTTCATTACTTTATTTTTCTCTTATTTTTCTAGCTATAGAACCCAAACATATAAACATAATGTAAGTATTATGTGAACGAATTAAATTCCTTATCTTTTATCAATTTTTAATAGCATTTTTATTTTTCCTATGCAATCTGACCAATTATGCGTAGCTATATTGGGCTTCTAGGGTCAATTACCATGACTGCGGCCCGCCTTTAGTTTATTTTGCCACCTTGTGGCCCTTGCCTACCAAAAGGTTGCCGACCGCTGCCATAAGGGGTAGGCAGACGTGCACATTATGCAATGCCACTGTACAATGTAACAATCACTACACACTATTTATGTTACGAGTCCCATGTAATAGGGGGTGAGCATATTGCCATATACCGGACACAATTCCAGACTCCGTGCTACTACTGAGGCCGGGAGGCCCCTTGCCCGGCAGTCGGACTTGCGACCACTTGGCCAACGAAGCACTTTTATTTTGTAGGTAAAATATACAAAAATATCTAACCTGTCCACCTTCTCTGGTTCTTTAAGCTGTGTAGCCTGTTGCCTCTCGACGTGTCTGCGAGGGACGCGAGGTCTCTGCTCCGGCGGCGTCGGGGCAAACGTGCCGAATAAATTACCCACTACGGGCACCTCCAGGGGAAACGTGAACTGCCAGAACTGGGGGTTCTCTTGCTGAAATTATGACCAATTTTACTGATTTATTTCAATACTAGCTTTTACCCGCGGCTTCGCTCGCGTCACAAAAGGATAAAAAGTAGCCAATGTGACATATACCAATACACACAGCGCCATCTATACCAATACTTTTGTTTTTCCTCACATACATACATAACTTCACGCATGTCTCCCACGGAGATAGACAGAGACTAGGGAACGCCAATTACTACGATTCCTATATACCTCTTTCGATTCATTAACAGTCATCAATCTTTTCATGCATGCTCGTCGGTTAAGGGTACTTTTAATTTGGCCCTTCTTTAATATATTTATTTATTTATTTTTTCTTCTTTACAAAATACAGTGAACGGCGGACTTAATGCCTTCCTTAAGGCATTCTCTTACAGTCAACCATAGGGAAGTGCAGAGAAATGAAGAGGTTGATACGAATATATCGCCAATCTGGTCACTATATGTCCGTCTAGGGCGTCATCTACCGACAGCCCCATTCATATCCGCTCTGTATACTTCTTTCGTTACTCTACTTTCATCCATCATTTCTACATGTCCAAACCCTAACATTCCCTTTTCAGTCCTTGTCAATACATCATCTTTCAATCAATCAGACTCTTACTGACTAAAAACCACCCCGTTCCTTCTCTTGCACGTCGAGCCGGAGCCCCGGTAACCCGTTAGGTTCTCCGCGACTGTGTTAACATAGGAAGACTTGGAGTGTTAACACAAAAAAAATCGTATCTTGTACTCACAATATGTTTGGCGAGCTCGTGCCTGTCGTACGTGTTGACATTACAGCTGACGGCCACGGAGCAACGCACCGTGATGTCACTGGCTGCGCGCATCACGCGGGAGTCCAGGTACTCCTCACCTGGAAACATAGACTGCACGGTTGGTGCGGTGGCTGGGCAACCGGCTGCCGTGCAACGTGTCGCGGGTTCGAATCCCGCACGGAACAACACTTTGTGTGATCCACAAATTGTTGTTTCGGGTCTGGGTGTCATTGTATATATGATAACTTGTATGTTTGTAAACGCACCCACGACACAGGAGAAAATCCTAAAGTGGGGCAACGTTTAAAAAAAAAAAAAAAAACATGCATCATCATCATTTTTTTATTTATTTAAAGAAAAAAGGTCCTTTTTAAATTTTGAATTGATTACTATTGTCAAAATAAATAGTCTTTGGTTTTTTAAACGTCAATAATAAAAAAAATTTTGCGTTTAAGAATTTATAGAAGAATAAAACATTAAATGTAGTTTCTTCATTTTAAAAAGCAACACATTAGTTTTATTTAATTCTTAATTATAAGATTTGGTCTTATATTTATTTATTTATTTACACTTTATTGTACATCATAATGACATACAAAGAAATATAAACATAAAAAGAATGTGTACAATGTGCGGTCTTATCGCAGATTGCGTTTTCTTACAGACAAGTGACAACCTTTGGATGGAGCACAGTAATTTATTTATTTCATTTATTTCAATTAAATAGTATAACTGACTGCCTCGTTGGCTGAGTGGTAGCAAGTGCGACTGCCGGGCAAGGGGCCTCGGGTTCGATTCCCGGGTCGGGAAAAGAATTAGTGGGTTTTTAAAAATTTCTCAGTAGTACGTTTTTTTTTACAAACCCAGTAATACTTTGCTCGAGCCCGGGAATCGAACCCAAGACCCCTTGCCCGGCAGTCTCACTTGCGACCACTCGGCCAACGGACGCACTTTTATACCTATTTTTTAATTATGTAACTAAATAGATTGTTATTTCATTCAAAAGTCTCCAATAATCCTAATGCCATACCCGACCCAGGAATAGAACCATTCAGCTGTACAGTATAATACAAATTCCTATTTTTTTAATTATTCAAACTATCGGTAACAAACCTGGATCCTTGACTTTTTCATCAAGAGTTGACTTTGCAAACAGAGCCTTCGCCTCCTTGACCATATCTCTGGTCTTATCCATACAGTCGATATTGTCATCTGCTTCATTTTCTGAAACAATATAAATTTGTCTATAGGATAAGCTAGTAAATGAGTAGATGGATCACCTGATGGTAAGCAATCGGCGCCGCCCAATAGAGGCGTTACAAGTGCGTTACCGACCTTTGGGGAATTAGGAATTGAAAGATTGTTGGGTATTCAGGGATTGACGAGATTGAAGAGAGAAAGAAAGAAAGAAAAGCCATTTATTTCTGCGCAAAACACACATAACATACTTAAAAAATAAAAAAAAGCTAAAAAATTAAAATGAAGTGAGATCTTGTCCATGGTCCACAGACTTATTATTTTACTGAAATGATAGAATATTTAATATCTAATATTATCTGTGGACCATAGACAAGGAAACACCCTACTTACTTCATATATAATAATAATTTCTAGTTGCATGCATTTATTAAAATTGTTAAATTGGATAAAGGAGTATTAAAAAGGTTTAATTATAATAGAGAGGATAATTGGGTCTGTGTTAAAGTCATTCACATGACGACACACAACACAAGTGATGTTTCATGACGTTTTACTGCTGCTCAACCGTGGCATTAATCTGGTTGAGCCAGGGCATAGACACATAATAAATTTTTGATAATCAATTTAAAAACTCCAAAATAACAATGGCCTCTAGAGTTTCTTGTTCATTCTTCTCATCTACACGTTGGAACGAGCAAATTGCTAGACTAGAAGAGTGAATGACACTTTAAAAATGTTTGTTTAGACTGTCAAACACCGAGCAGCCATCTGTGACCGCAACCTATTGTTCTTTAATTGTGTCTATATGACGGTACTCGATGAGTTAAATTCAAAAGTGCCACCATGGTCTAATTGAAATAAATGATTTAGACATTGACTTCGGTGTTAGTTGCTGATAGCCATGCAAAGTGTCATGGGTTTCATTTGTCGGAACAAGTCTTATGACATAACATAACATCACGCCTTTTGTCCCCGAAAGAGTAGGCAGAGGTGCACATTATGCCACTGTACAATGTAACACCCACTTTTCACTATTTATGTTATAAATCCCATGTAAAAGGGGGTAAGCCTATTGCCATATACCGGGCATAATTCCAGACTCCGTATTACTACTGAGATTTTTTTTTAAAACCTAGTAGTATTTTGCCACCTTGTCGTGACCTTGACAAGTCTTGTGAATGTTCCACAAATAGTTGTTTCGAGTCTAAGTGGGATGTGTATGGGAGATTGTATGTTTCTAAACACAGTTACAACACAGAAAAAATCCCTAGTGTCCGCAAACATTTTTTTGATAATTACAATGTCGTACGAGCTTCTATGCAACATCTTTGCACTTGATAATGTTTAGTCCAACATCAGTCAGATGCTAGATCCTTCATATAAGTAGTAGATAAGCCAATCTACATAAGAACTTTAGCAGTATCATAGAGAGAGATTGTTTATGACAAAATCTGATAAACTGACCACAAGACAATAGATATTATCAAACATATATCCCCAAGCGGTCACCGGTGACCGCTCTCCACTAACTACATTATATACCTTAATTCCAATGTTTAGAGACTACTTTTGTATGAACAAATTTAGGGGATGATTTTCAACAATTTTCGACAGGTTAATGATACTTTAATATCTATTGTCTTGCGATCAGTTTATAGGTCAGGTCAGAAGCCAATATGTTATTCTAGACTATAATCTATCTTTGTGCCAAGTTTTATAAACATGTACAGTAGCTTTTGAGTAAAAGATTAACAAACATTCAGTCTTACCAGTCTAGAAAAAAATAACACACAACACACAATGGTTTATCCATTGATATAATTTACTTTGTTAGTTGTACAAACATTATTCGTACTTGTAAAACTATAAAGATGTTAAAAAGAAACAGTAAATTCTTCATAAGTACCTAAATTGGAAAGATACTCCAAAATCTGTCTGTAACGAAGTTTCCTTTCAAAACTTTCACCGGTACTCGTCCTTGATACTTGAGAAGCCATTGTTTATTCTTTTTATCACAATTTGTATTTAATAAGTATAAAAATCAAGTTTACAAGTAAAACAACAAACAATCACAATCGCAATTTTTAGCAATGTACTTTTGACAAGTTTGATGTTTGACGGAATGAGGTGAAACAGAATTGCGCGGCACGCGTTTATCTCTGAACTCCGTTCGGAAATTGGCTGGTAGGCAGTTTGGGTTTATGGAAGGTATTAAATAACGAATAATATTTTCAGTTTTAACCGAAAAACTAAGTAAATGAATTACTTTTCTATGGTTGAGAACTTGTTATTCAAGTTTAGAGAACTAAGATAATTTAATATTCAATATTTAGCTTCCTGATTTTGTAACAAAGGAGTTTTTTATTACCTTATTTTTGAACGAATCGAAAAATTACAGTGTTGTCAGATTTTAGCTCAGACAATTTGGTAGATTTTAAATTGTTTAAATTTCGTAATTTATTTTCAGTCTCTGATTTTTAATAAAAGAATTATTTCATATTAATAATCACTATCATCGATCAACACTTATTTACTTGCTGCTAGGAGTGCTAGGTAATAGGTTTTTACTGCTGCCTTATTCTTTTCGGTTTGTGCATACTGTATCCCTTATCCATCTAACGTTTTTGACGATATCGTCCAGCCAATTTATTTTTCCAAAAATGATAGGTTTTCTAGTAAATAACTAACTATAGGTAGATATAACACAAAAAAAATTTTAGTTTTTTGATGGAGATTTTATTGCGATGTTTATGTTTCATAAACACAGTATTATGAAAGATGAGTCACAATATCGTAGCGATCAAATAATTGATGGCAGATAAAATCTTAATCTTATTGTATACAGTAGCATTAAATAATTATCACTTAACTTTCCAAAAACTAAAAAATGAAAACACTTTCTTTGAGTAAATAACTAATAAGAAATGGTAGACTTAGTAGTTAATTCATAATTGCTGTGGTATCATTCACTAGCATAAAATTTGTTGTAGGAGTGCGCGGTTTAAAGACAAAACGTTGCATTTTAACGAATTTAATTGTAACATATTTAATATTTTTTATAATAAAATGTACAATAATCTATAGTATCTATAATATTCATGAAATTTCTGTATAAATAATAAGTATTGTCGTGCCGTTACGGAACGTTAGTGACAAAGTTGAAAATCAGTGAGGTTATAAATTGCAAACATTTTATGAAATAAATGGATTCAGCGCCAGCACAAGAGGTAACGGAGCTGCTGAGACAATGGGAGGAGCAACACAATACACCAAACTTCGACCCGATACCAACTTTGACGAGGTGTGTACTTTGTTTTGATAAGTTTTGTGAAAAAAAAAAAGCGTAATAATTAGCACATTGATATGCCTCCCGTATGTCTACACATGTGGTTATGAGGTACAAATTTAAAAATAGACGTCTCGACCATGCTGGTTTGTCTAAAAAGTGATATAAGCAATTTAAACTTTTAAAAAGTTTCGTGGTATGTAAACAGGAAGTTACAAATGTGTACGTAATTACGTGCATAGTCATAGAATTTAATAAATATAAGTAATAAAATATCATTTTACCAACGTTAATTATTAGTTTTTGATCAGATTCATTGTAAAGAAAAAATAAAACTTTGTTGACATTGTAACTTTTTTTTGTTATCTTACTTTGGCATTGACCATAAGCTGTCAACCAGGCTGTAAACTTTTATGTGGGTATGAACAGTTTTGATGTAATTTTCTTGAAAAAGGTTTCTAATTAGGGTATATGGGATGTTAATGCATATCTAATTGCATTATATCACAACTTTTTTACTATATTTAATTTATTTTTTTGCAATACTTTCATTTGACAATCCAAATTAGACATTGTTTTCTATTATTCAACATGACAAGTGGAAACTGTAGAACACTAATTTTCTCTTATTTCAAGACATATTTTCCAAACATAATATTAAACTTTGATATCATGATTTCTTCAATTGTCGCATATCGAAAGTCTTTATCTTGAATGGAATAGAAAAATTTTTCTCTAATAAAAATTCCAATATTTGTAAGTTATAGTTTCTGGCTACATGCCAGAAACTATATAATATAATCATTGTATACTTATTTAGATTGTAACCAGGGGACAGTATACATAGCTACATCATGCCATGCAATCCAGTATAAACTGACTGTTGAATGTCTAGAGAGGTCTTAAAAAACAAGACCATCATAAAGTGGTTTTGTACAGCTCAATGCTTTAAGTATTCAACTTGTTGCTACATGTTTATTAAAATTATTTCATAATATTGTGAAATAATTTATAACATCGATATTGATATTTGTATTATAACTTTCGTGAGACATACTAAATAAATTATTATTCTTAGTATAATTTTTTGTCTTTACCATTCACGGGACCACAGGGTCCCGGTCATTTGGGAGGCGTACGAGGGGCCGAAGCCAACTGCGCAGAGGCCCTTTAGACAACTTTAATATAAATCTAATGGACACACAAACCGGTGACTGTCTCTGTATGCACTATGGGAATGCACCCAAGGACAGTCCCCAGTTAGTGTAGAACTATTGTGGATAATGAAAAAAAAAGGTAGGGCTATGGATGGGTTGCTGTGGACTAGTAAATGGGGAACTATGGATGACTATGGCACCTGCCGAAACAATGTAATTACTACACGTAAAAATGGCAGGCGGAGACTCGCCAACTCACCGACCGGGCTCTGGGAATGGTTGCTAGATATAGCAACAGAGGGGCAACGAGATTAGTGTAATTATTATTAGAGGCTCTTATTCATGAGCAGCATTCCCAGTAGCAGCGTGACAATCGCCGCGTCGCAGATCGCGAAATGCTGCTCATGAATAGGAGCCTCTAGCATGGCTTGAAACTAGTCGAGTACCTCGTCGAATAATTACGTGAGTAAGCCGAAATCATAAGGATCTTGATATTGTCTAGAGAAGAGGCATATGTGTCACTATACTTGTCAACTTGTCATAAAAATTAAATAATTGACTCTCATTCATTCAAACCTTTGATAATTCGAGCATCTGTATCATTTGAAGTTATCATGAGGGCCCCTAGTATTTCATATTTCGAACTAAATCAATACATTATTATGCATTTGGTAATTTTTATACTATTATATAAAGCTAATGAGTTTGTCTGTTTGTTTGAATGCGCTAATCTCAGGAACTACTGGTCCAGATTTGAATAATTCTTTTTGTCTCAGATAGCCCATTTACCGAGGAAGGCTATAGGATAAGCTATAAAACATTATGCTATGTTTAATAGCCACTGAGCAGAGACGGGAAACCGGTGTGTGGATAGTAAACTTAAAAAAATATTTAGTTATGGCATGATATAAATGCTGTTTGTTATCTATATTTTTCTTTTCATGTATCATGTAGATAAAATATAAAGTTTGGAAGTCGAGAGAGCAGACATTAATATGAGATAGTACACCGATTAAATGAAATAATAACAAATGAATAGTGAATGTAGCGGATGTAGTTTCTTGCTCGTTCTTCTCCATTCCAATCCACTCTTTGGAACAAGCACCTAGCTTCACTGATGGACAGACTAACAAACAAACATATTTATTTGCATTTTGTTCATACATACTTAATTTAACTCGTTGAGTACCGTCATTATAGACACAATTAAAGACCAATAGGTTGTGTTCACCGGTGACTGCTTGACAGGTGACAATTTAAGCTTATTATTTAACTTTTCTAGTCTGACAGGTTAGACTGACTGACTATTATTTATTTTATATAGCGACCTGCCCCGGTCGGGTAAATTGGGGTAACGTTTTTACTTTAACAAAAAAAATACTATTCAACTAAATAATTTCTTAACGACAAAGATTACAATTACATTATTGTAGAATGGCGAATAATATTTATAAATAGGAAATAATTGCCTGAAAGAAGAAAATAGACTGCTTCGTTGGCCGAGTGGTCGCAAGTGCGACTGCCGGGCAAGGGGTCTCGGGTTCGATTCCCGGGTCGGGCAAAAGTATTACTGGGTTTTTTTTTAAATCTCAGTAGTAGCACGAAGACTGGAATTGTGCCCGGTATATGATAATATGCTCACCCCCTATTACATGGAACTCATAACATAAATAGCGAAAAGTGGGTGTTACATTGTACAGTGGCATAATGTGCACCTCTGCCTACCCATAACATAACATAACATCACGCCTTTTATCCCCGAAGGGGTAGGCAGAGGTGCACACAGAAGTACTCTGCCTACCGCTTCGGGGATTTGAGGCGTGATGTTATGTTATATAGTTCTATTTTTGAGTTTTGACTTTCAAATATTTCATTTGAAACTACAATTAAACTGACTACGCCATTATCTATTACAGGATAGCAGAGATAATAGAGGCGGAGACAGAGAACTTTATGAAGAAAGATCCGGATCCATTCGATGAGAGGCACCCGTCACGTACTGATCCAGAATGCGCGCTCGGACACGCCCTCAAAGTCATGTTCAAGAAGGACAACTTTATGACAAAGGTAATAAGAGTTGTTATTGAACAAACTCTTTTTTTATGGGATAAGCTTGTAAAAGAGCAGACGGAACACCTGATGGCAAGCAATCGTCGTCGCCCATGGACACCTGGAACGTCAGAGGCGTTACAAGTGCGTTACCGGCCTTTGGGGTTTAGGAATTTGAGGATTGTTGAGGGTTCAGGGATTAAGGAGATTGGGGGGTGGAGGTAATTGGGCCTCCGATAACCTTCACACAATGCATGTGTTGTTTCACGTCGGTTTTCTGCTCGGCCGTGGTATCACTCCGGTCGAGCCGGCCCACTCGTGCCGAAGCATGGCTCTCCCATAATGAAGGGAATGTGGATATGTTTAATGGCTTTTGTGAAACATACTAAATATTATGTTTTCGGCTTACGTAACTTTTAACTAGTCGAGTTGCTCGTCAAACAGCCCTAGACGGACATATAGTGACCAGATTGGCGATATATTAAAGAAGGGCCAAATTAAAAGTACTCTTAACCGACGAGCATGCATGAAAAGATTGATGACTGTTGATGAAGAGAAAGAGATATGTAGGAATCGTAGTAACTGGCGTTCCATAGTCTCTGCCTACCCCCATGGGAGACAGGCGTGAAGTTATATATGTATGTGTGTATGTATGTAATATATTATTTTCGCCCAACAGCTGGTAAACGACTATGTACGTGACACGTACTATTCGCGTCAGAACATCACCGGCCGCGACGTCCACAAGCTGAACGTGGCCGCCTGCAGACTGACGCTCGACCTCATGCCTGGACTCGAGATGAGCGTCGTCTTCCAGGTAATTTACTTACTAGCGGACCGACAGATGTTGTCCTGCATATCCACTTGAATGTATAAACAAAAATTCATTCAAATTAGTTCAGCTGTTTAGGATAAATAACCTAAACATCGACTGCAGCGGCATTGCCATATACCGGGCACAATTCCAGACTCCGTGCTACTACTGAGAATATTTAAAAACCCAGTAATACTTTGCCCGACCCGGGAATCGACCCGAGACCCCTTGCCCGGCAGTCGCACTTACGACCAGCCAACGAGGCAGTCAACGTGTCTAATAGTAAATACTCATTTTTTAATGGTTTCCAGGACAACGAGGCTCTGATCCACCGTCTAGTGAACTGGGCGACTAACTCAGTGGAGCCGCTACAATGCTACGCCACCGGTCTGCTCGCCGCCGCCATGGAGGTGCAGGAGATTGCTACAAATTTTAGGTCAGTCCCATCTTCTGCTTACGTTTACACAATATACATGTAACAGCCAACTAGTTCAATTGGGTACTTTCCTTGATAAAAAATAAATAACTTCGACTGTTCAATACAATAGAATATTAAAAAATAATTACACTTTCATTAATTGATTTCATGACCGACTTAATTTTAGTATTTTTCCAGTGAATTTTTGAGAAATAAGTACTATGCTGTTTGGCGCTATAAAAAGGTGACGTCATAATACACAATCTCGTACAAAGTTCATAGAAAACTGTCGTTTTTTACAGTTCGAAAAAAGTATTGAATTTGACCAGTTGGCATGTACCTGATTAGACTTCGATTAATGGAATGAATGAATAAATTGAAATTGAATAATTAGTTATTTGATTGAATGGCTGAATTTCTCTGGTCATTGTAACCAAGTTGCTAAAAGTATGGTATGTCAGAATAGGTTATAACTAGAACTGTGACCTGCACAGAAATTGGTTTGGATTTTTTGGATTGGAAACGGGTTGACATAAAAAATAAACAATCCTTTCATTCAACCGAAGGTAAAGCACTTCTAACTCGTCGAGTAATTTTCGTGAGAAATACTAAATGAATTATCATGTTTTCGGCTTACTCACGTAGTAATTCGACGAGGGACTCGACTAGTTTCAAGCCATGCTAGAGGCTTATATTCATGAGCAGCATTTCGTGATCCGCGACCCGGCGACTGTCGCGCTGCTACTGCTACTGCGGTGGCTGGGGAACCGGCTACCGCGCAACGTGTCGCGGGTTCGATTCCCGCGTTGAACAACTCTTTGTGTGATCCATAAATTGTTATTCCGGGTGTGGGTGTCATGTGTACGTGAACTTGTATGTTTGTAAACACACCCACGACATAGGAGACAATCCTAATGTGGGGTAATGTTTATTTAAACAAATATGATAATTAATTTATTTAAAAAAAAAAATCAGGTGATCCATCTGCTCGTTTACCAACTTATACCATGAACAATTTCATTCCGTATATTTTATATTACATAAACTGTTTGTATTGTAACTGTCATGTAATGTAAACTAAGAAACTATTTTTTTTATATTTATAAATGTAATTCTTATTTCAGGGATTTAAACGCTATGCTAGTACCGCTAATGCTAAGGAGGCTACACGCTTTAAGAGAGGATAAAGTAAGTCATCATTTCAATATTTTACTTTCATATATATTTGTCACTTTCTCGCCGACATTCCTTGCTCAGTAATCGAGCTTGCAACCACTCTTCAGAGAGAAAGTAATAAAAATTTAAATAAGAGGCCTTAGTACGAGTTTACGTACGTACGTAGTAACGAGTAAGTGTTCGGCGCCGCTCTGATTGGTTGGTTCATCGGTGCTGGCCAATCAGAGCGCAGAACGCGTACTCGTTTCGAATACTTTAATTACGTTCAAACTCGTACTAAGGCCTCTGATTATTATTTTTTTTACTTTCTCTCTGAAAATAGGTTGCAAGCTCGATTACTGAGCAAGGAATGTCAGGTTTCCAGGATATGATATAAATCTACTAGCTACCACTAATACTACTAGTTCGGTTCCCGCACGGAATATTTATAACTGGGTACTTTCCATCTAGTCAAATTCAATACTTTTTTCGAACTGTCAAAAACGACAGTTTTCTATGAATTTTGTACGAGATTGTGTATTGTGACGTCACGTTTTGTTAACGTCAAACAGCATAGTACTTATTTCTTAAAAATTTGCTGGAAAAATACTAAAATTAAGTTAGTCATAAAATCAATTAATGAAAGTGTGATTATTTTTGAATATTTAATTGTATTGAACAGTCGATATAATTTATTTTTGATTAAAGAAAGTACCCAATTGTTTGTGTAATCCACAAATAGTTATTTCGTGTCTGAGTGTCATGTGTTTGCGCAATAGGATAGATATCTAATTTTTATTTTAACGTCTGTCTGGTAGATTATTTTATATCATTAGACACGTATTTTTTATTTTCTTACAGAAACGAATACTTTCGACGGTATATTGATTTGAAATGTCGCATGACGTCACTTCTATGTACATTTTATACGTAGAAATGACGTTATAACCTCCACTCATAAACTTTGATTCGTTTTATCTAAGTATTGTTTTATTATATGACAAACTAAAAAAATACGTGTCTAATATTTTTTCATTACCTAACTTACGGACTAATTATATTTTTAATGTTCATACCCAGTCATAATCCCAATTGTATGTTTGTAAACGAACACTCAACACAGGAGAAAATCATATTGTGGGGCTTTTAGCGATGAATTATAATGTAACTAGTAATTAATTTAATAAGTTTAACACATGTCTGCTTACCCCGTTACAGCAGAACAACCCGAACACAGTGACGCCACCGAATCAGACGCGACACTTCGCCCGCTTCGACAAGAAGCGAAACAGTGACATCAAGTGCAACGGACCTAGTAAAGATAAGAAAGGTAGGTTCAATAACTGTTACAATAAAATAAGTAAATAAATCTTTATACTATTATACTTCTTATATGCTTGAGGCATTTTTTTTAAGGGGGGAAAATCATCGAATAACTGCTCCCGCCTGGGTGAGGCGGGAGGGAGTGTCAGACTCTTACTGACTAAAAACCACCCCGTTCCTTCTCCTGCACGTCGAGCCGGAGCCCCGGTTACCCGTTAGGTTCTCCGCGACATGCTTGAGGCATAAGACTATCTCGTTGGTCGAGTGGTCGCAAGTGCGACTGCCGGGCAAGGGGGTATCGGGTTCGATTCCCGGGTCGGGCAAAGCAACTAATAACATAAATAGTGAAAATTGGTAACATTGTGAAGTGGCATTAAGTGCCGTAATGTGCACCTCTGCCTACCCCTTCGTGGACAAAAAGGCGTGATTTTATGTTGTGTTACTTATTATATAAAGTTGAATGTGATAGTGCGTAAAGAATCTTATTGTACCGTCACCACATGGCTTTGACGACCTATAATATTATCATTTTAATGGACAATAATAATAGCAATTGTAATTTCAGATCGTGCCAAAGACGAGGGCGGTGGAGGAGACATGTTAGTTGATGAAACTCCCCCGCAGGCCAGCAGAGACCCCGAGACCCCAGTCAAGAATTATAGTAGTAGTAAGTATTGTCCTACTAACATTATAAACTACTGAAGCAATCGGCGTCGCCTATGGCCATCTGAAACACCAGTGGCGTTACAAGTGCGTAACCGGCCTTTTAGGGATTAGAGATTTGAGGATTGTTGGCGATTCAGGGATTCGGAAGATTTTTTATTTAAGGGCGGAAAATAATCGAATGACTTCTCCCGCCCAGGTGTGGCGAAACGGAGTTTACAGACTCTTGCTGACAAAAACCACTCCGTACCTATTCCTGCACTTCGAGTCGGAGCCCGGGCAACCTTACGTTCTCCACGGCTCCGTATCGGCATCAGCCCTATTGGGCCCCATCCGTGGTAGGCTTATGGCTTGTTAAGGCCCGCACGGATTATGAATCTTCTGTACTAAAGAGCATTTGGCCATAATGTCGACACTAGGAGATTACAGTTTTAAAAGATCAGGTTCATCAGAGAACGCTTCGTATTCGCGCTCCCTACTGCATGAAATATACCTCTCAATAAAGTACAAAATACTAGAATAATAATAATAATAATCATTACCCTTTCAGGTCCAGCGAACGCATGTTCTCCCCCCTCTCAGTGGGGGATGATGTCTCCCCCACCTCGGCCGCCCCCCCTACACCAACATGAAACCTCCTCCAATTCCAGCTGGGCGGAAATGGAGACATATGTTATAGGTACTACACTACTACTACTCTATCTCTTGTACTTTTTAATTTTTAAATAATCTTTATACAAGGTGTAGTTTTGAAACCGTGTCATTTCTCGGGGGCATGTCACAGAAGTCATAAAGGTTCAAAGTAAGTGAAAGTTTCGGGCCAATAGTTAAAAATACGGCTATAATAAATCGTTTAAGTTCGACAGTTTTTCAGAATAAGCGACAGCAATGTTTCTTATTTGAGTTTTATGGAATTAAGAATAATATCAATTACGTGTTTGAGTTTGTGTGTGTTAAGCCGCGTTATAAAGCTAGTTACAAGACGGCGGCGTGTAGTTCGCACTTACAGATTTCCGTAATGTACAGAAAAATGAAAAATATTTACCTACAATTTGTGGAGCAGACGAATCATCTGATGGTAAGCAATCGGCGTCGCCCATTGACACCTGGAACACCAGAGCGGTTACAAGTGCGTTACCGGCCTTTTGGGGATTAGGAGTTTGAGGATCGTTGGGGATTCAGGAATTGGGAAGATTGGGGAAGGGGAAGGTAATTGGGCCTCCGGTAACCTCACTCACACGACGAAACACAACGCAAGCGTTGCTTCACGTCGGTTTTCTGCTCGGCCGTAGTGTCACTCCGGTCGAGCCGGCCCATTCGTGCCGAAGCATGACTCCCACACCTAAAAACTATACACAAAAGATATACTTAAATGGGGCAAAACAAAAGACTTTTATCTGAGACTGCTTATCTCTTCTCTTCTTGTTCTTCTCTCTATTTCTCTCTCTTCTCCTCTTTCTGCTTAACTACAGATGTGTTTGTATTTGTAGGTAATATACAAATTCACCCTCCGACGGACGCCACCAAACAGATGCTCATACTACGGTATCTCACACCCATGGGAGAGTATCAAGAGGTAAGCACTAATCTTAAACATTCATTATATACTCTGTAGCAACTTTTATTAGAATTAGAATGTCGTGGTGGCCCGGAGGTTTAAGACGCTAGCTACTCATGCATGAGAATGCGGGTTCGAAACCTACCAACGGCAAGTACCAATGTGACTTTTTCCGAGTTATATGTACTTTCCAAGATTATTTAGACACCACTGACAAACGGTGAAGGAAAACATCGTGAGGAAACCTGGGCTTATAATATCTGATTATAAGTTTGTAATCGCCAACCCGCATTGAGCAAGCGTGGTGGTTAATGCTCAAACCTTCTCCGTATGAGAAGGGGCTTTGCTCAGCAGTGGGCATTTATAGGCTGTTGATGATGATGAACTTTTATTAATTGGGTGCTTTCCTTAATAAAAAATAAATTATTTTGACTATTCAATACTATAAAATATTCAAAAATAATCATACTTTCATTAATTGATTTTATGACCAACTTAATTTTAGTATTTGTCCAGCAAATTTTTAAGAAATGAATATGCTGTTTGACGCTAAAAAACGTGACGTCACAATACACAATCTCGTACAAAATTCATAGAAAACTGTCGTTTTCGACAGTTCGAAAAAAGTATTGAATTTGACTAGGTGGCAATTAATAAGTAATAGGTATTATATTATAAGTAATAGGTCGAGTGAGTGAAATAACTACAGCAGTTAGGGAGATCTCAACGTATATTGAAATAACTACATAAAGAGCGCAAGATACATGGATGAGAATGATAAAACTACTCTGATTGGTCGGTTCACTGAGGCTGTAGTACGAGTTAGTTAATTAGTAAACGAAACGAGACCGCGTACGTCGCTCTGGGGGCTTACTCTTGAATCCAATTCCGATCGATCGACATTGGTATTGTGAAATTTCGTACTCGCGAGTTGCAACACTAGCGCCCATTGCATCCGTTTTGCGTGGATATTGAATGAACTAAATGGTATTGAGTTTGGCTTTATATTCCGTACTCTGAATGCTATTGTAACAGCTACGATAGTGGTTGATTGAATATTTATTGAGATTTTATTGGATTGAAATTGCATTGACATTGAAATTGGTTTCAAGAGTAAGCGCACTGATTGGTTGATTCATTTTAGACGGCCAATCAGAACGCCGTACGCGCACGATACTGTCTACTCTTACCCGATATAAACGAGCAGGACAAAAAATGATACCTAACCTAACTGTCTTATGATTATTTTTTCCAGTTCCTATCGCACGTGTTCGAGCAGAACGCCCTAGGTTTGATTCTCGGCTACTTGAACGTGCGCGAGTCCAGAGACTCTCGGCTCGCGTTCGAAGCGCTCAAGTACCTCGCCGCTCTACTCTGCCATAAGAAGTTTTCTATCGATTTTATTAATATGGGCGGGTTGCAGGTGAATACCATTTTCTATTAATTTTTTCAAGACTGATTCGTTGGCCGAGTGGACGCAAGTGCGACTGCTGGATACGGGGTCTCGGGGTTCGATTCCCGGGTCGGGCGTTATTACGTGGTTTTTAAAAAAATCTCACCGAGTCTGGAATTGTGGCCTGTGTATGCCATTACATGGGACTCATAACATAAATAGTGAAAAGTGGGTGTTACATTGTACTGTGTGTTATACTGTATCGCCGAATGATTCGATTCCCGGGTCGGGTGTGGCAGTAGGATTATTGGAGTAAAGTAGATTTATTGGTTATATATACCTATCATTATTTGGTTTTATAGAAATTCCTGGAAGTGCCTAGACCGTCGGTGGCCGCGACGGGTGTGTCCATCTGCCTGTACTACCTCGCCTACTGCGAGGACGCCATGGAACGAGTCTGTCTACTGCCCAGGAAGACTCTAGCTGATCTCGTTAGGTATGTATTTATTTATGTACTACAGCTTCCCAATACAATACAATATGCATATATTATACATATAAACTTGGAGTCGCGGAGAACCTAACGGGTAACCGGGGCTCCGGCTCGACGTGCAGGAGAAGGAACGGTGTGGTTTTTAGTCAGTAAGAGTCTGACAGTCCCTCCCGCCTCACCCAGGCGGGAGCAGTCATTCAATGATTTCCCCCCCTTAAAAAAAAATACATATAAACTTTCCTTAAAAAGCACTCGATCTATTAAAAAAAACGCATCAGCGGATAGCGACTTTGTTTTATACTATGGAGCGAAGCCGATAAACGAGCAGACGGATCACCTGATGGTACGCAATCGTCGTCGCCCATTGACACCTGGAGCACCAGAGGCGTTAGAAGTGCGTTACCGGCCTTTTGGGATTATGGATTTGAAGGTTGCTGGGGATTCAGGGATTGGGAAAGGGAGGATGGTTAATCGGGCCTCCGGTAACCTCCACCAACCACTGTACTATGTAACACCCACTTTTCACTATTTATGTTATGAGTTCCATGTAATAGGGGGTGAGCCCATTGCCATATACCGGGCACAATTCCAGATTCCGTCCTACTATTGAGATTAAAAATCACCAGTATTACTGGCTCGACCCGGGAACCGAACCCGACACCCCTTGCCCGGCAGTCGCACTTGCAACCACTCAGCCAACGAGGCAGTCACATTTACAATATTACTAAGATAAAAATGACTTTATAAACTTTATTCAGAATTCAAAAATGCGAATACAAAAATATGTCGTAAATACGTACAATTGCCCTCACAATGTTAAAATAATAATAAAATAAATAAGTAATAATAATAATGTATATATGTTTGTGTGTCCAGGTACGCGCTATGGTTGCTGGAATGCTCGCACGACTCGGGCCGCTGTCACGCCACAATGTTCTTCGGTCTTTCCTTCCAGTTCCGCGTCATCCTTGAGGAGTTCGATCATCAGGTCAGTTCACCCTCATGCATGAGAAGCGGGCGTCTTAAACCCCCGGGACACCGCGACAGTACACCCAAGTGTAATTCTATCATCAACAGCCTATAAACGCCCACTGCTGAGCAAAGCCTCTTCTCACGCTGAGAAGGTTTGAGCATTAATCACCACGCCTGCTCAATGCGGGTTGGCGATGTCAAACTTATAATTAGAAATTATAAGCGCAGGTTTCCTCACGATGTTTTCCTTTATCGTTTGTCAGTGGTGTCTAGATAATCTTGGAAAGTACATATAACTCGGAAAAAGTCATATTGGTACTTGCCGTTGGTAGGTTTCGAACCCGCATCCGCACATGACAAGCGGGCGTCTTAAACCTTCGGGACACCGAGACAGTACTCCCTAGTGTAATGCTAACCTAACGGGTAACCGGGGCTCCGGCTCGACGTGCAGGAGAAGGAACGGGGTGGTTTTTAGTCAGTAAGAGTCTGACACTCCCTCCCGCCTCACCCAGGCAGGAGCAGTCATTCAATGATTTTCCCCCCCCCTTAAAAATAAAAAAGTGTAATACTAGGTGTTTATTGATAAGTTGGTTATACAAACAAACATTCAAACATTAACAAAAATACGCCCGATGATGAAAAAAATGCGCTCGAGGGAGACCGTCGCGTGACCGTACCGGCGTCGTGTAGATATCGGCGCCCTGTGCACGCAGCGTGGCCGGTCGCGCGACGGAGTTGCCCGGTGACCATGAGATTATGAGATCTGAGGGCACAAACACGCTTCTATTACATCTAAATCTAACAATCTGAATTACACACACTTCTAGTTGTTGTACCACCATGAAACCTGGCAATTTGAGACTTGCCTTAATCCTTACTAATATCAGAAAGTGAGTTTGTTTGTTTATTCCACTTTCATGCCGTAACTACTAAACCGATTGCTTTGAAATTTTGCAGACGTAAAGTTAAAAGTCCGGATTAAACTGTCAAACACCAAGCGGTCACCGGTGACCGCGATCTATTGTTCTATAATTGTGTCTATAATGACGGTACTTGACGAGTTAAATAATAGGGTTCTTTTTATCCCAGAAAAATTTGATATTCCCGAGGGAAAATAAAAGTACGTCTGACTGTCGTTTTCGACAGTTTGAATTGAAATTGACCAGTTGGCAAAGGTCGTATTGGCAGGTCGCGGCGATGTAGAGTAGGCTGCGCGATATCGCCGCGACTGCTCATAAGGAAGAACCCCTCTGTGGTTCGAAACTAGTAGAGCTTTTCTCAGTAAGTTCTCGTGAGTAACCCGCGATTTTAGTTAGTTTAGTATGTCTCACGATAGTTATTATAAAAACGTCTATTTCTCCCAATGACGAGGACGCAGTATCTTTAAAATGGTGTTTAAATATGAATTTGTTATTAAAAACCTATTTTTCCCATTATATAATTTCGTTTTTTATAGGATGGTCTCCGCAAACTTTACAACGTGATATCAACCCTGCCTATACTGAGCGCGGACGAGGACGAGTCGCGAGTGTCCGAGGATGAGACCTGCGCCGCGCGACAAATCGTACGACACGTCTGTGTCGCATTAAGAAGGTATGTCGCAAAGTCGCATATTAGCTACTTCTGCGCGGTTACACACGCTCTGCTCAGCTCCTATTGGTCGTAGCGTGATGTTTTATAGCCTATAGCCATCCTCGATAAATGCGCTATATCCAACACAAAGAATTATTCAAATCAGACTTGTAGTTACAGAGAAAAACAAACTCTTCCGCTTTATATAATAGTATAAGACTATAAGATAAGATTAAATGAATGAATCAGTAACTAATATGATACGTTTGTGTGTAGGTACTTAGAAGCTCACCTGCGCCTTAGAGCTGCGCAGGTCGCGAGGCAACATGGCGACAATGTTCCCGAACCACCTCCTTACAAGGTAAATACTTTTTAATTTAAGTGTGGGAGAATCATGCTTCGGCACGAATGGGCCGGCTCGACCGGAGTGATACCACGGCCGAGCAGAAAACCGACGTGAAGTAACGCTTGCGTTGTGTTTTGTCGTGTGAGTGAGGTTACCGGAGGCCCAATTACCCTCCCCCGCTCCCCAGTCATGTCACTTCGAAATGATAACATAACATCACGCCTTTTATCTCCGAAGTGGTAGGCAGAGGTGCGCATTGTGCCACTGTACAATGTAACACCCATTTTTCACTATTTATGTTATGAGTCCCATGTAATAGGGGGTGAGCCTATTGCTCTTCGATCAACAATAACAACTAGATATCGGGTCGGCGCAAGAAAACCGACTCGAATAAGAGCTCACTTGAGAAGTGAGCTCTTATTTTGTTTAGTATGCTCCAAACACGGCCAACGTACTCACGTCTCACGATGCCGCAGTGCATAATTGCAAGTTGCAAAAATAATAACCGAAAAAGCAGTATAACGGCCGGAGTGTCTTACTTTTGATAAGTACATAAAATATAAGTTATATTTTAAGCTTTTAAACTAGTAAATAATATCAAATTAGTCAAAATTACCAATTATAAACCAACGCCACCAATGTTTGTGCGTGTGTTGGCGATCCCTTGGCCAAACCTCACCAACACGCGCACAAACATTTGTTTAAACAGAACAGTGGATGCATGGAGTCCATTTGTATTGGAAAATAAAATTGTATTGTAACCTGATTGGAAATGAGTATCTAACCTATGGAGTTTATTGCTCGTTCTTCTCCATAGGAATCTACACCTTGGAATGAGCAACTAGCTTCACTTTTAAATTTATTATGTTGACGTTCAAAAGTGCCTTCCTGGTCTAACTGAAATAAATGATTTTGACTTAGACTTTTAATGATAAAGTAAATAAACATATCATACACAAAAACGTACCGCTAATAGAAATAAGTGATGTAAGTACATATACTAAGATCCTGAAATCTTAATTTTCATATTATAAAATTATTTTAGTGTCCAACGCGACTCCATATATACCTCCTGTAGCAAAATTCGAAATTTGAAGAAGCAAAACGAAACAAAACAAAACGATATAGATCGCAAGACAATAATGGAAAAATTATCTTTATTTGTTCAAAGTTAAGGTTGAATTCAAACTAGATATTGTATAACTTATGTCTGTTAATTTCTACATGACAAGAGTAAGAAAATACTTTTCTCGTATTATGTGACAATTTAGACGTAAGTATTAGATAATATTTTGACGATTTATGACTATATTATTAGGTGCCATGGTTGTTATTAGGTTGCACTTAAAACTATTTTAAAACATTTTTCTCTGTTTGTTATTTTTTTACTATTATTATTCACACGGATAGAACTGGAGCTTGATTTTGTACGTAACCCTTTATCTAGTTGCTATTGTTGATCGAAGCTATTGCTATATACCAGGCACATTTCCATCGCTACTACTGAGTTTTTTTTTAAAAAACCAGTAATATTTTGCCCGATTCGAGAATCAAACCCGAGTCCGGCAGTCGCACTTGCGACTACTCGGCCAACGAGGCCAAAGAGTGCAGTATTGCAATTTATATTTTATCTTGTAGGCATCCAAGTCGTCTCCGGAAGAGATTCAAGAGCAGATAGAGTTGCTACAAAGCGTGGCGTGGTCTCGATGGTCAGCTGTGGACGAGCTACTGGAGCTGGGCGGAGTATCGTTACTGCTACAGGTCGTGGGATACGCTTACGAATGGAATTTTAACGGCAGGTATTGGATACTATTGTTATTATAATAATTTGTTTTATAAAACTACTAGCTTTTACCGGCGGCTTCGCTCGCGTCACAAAAGGATAAAAAGTAGCCTATGTGATATATACCAATACACACAGCGCCATCTATACCAATAATTTCGTTTTCTCTCGAGAATTTCAAATTTTTTCCGGGATAAAAAGTAGCCTATTATTTAATCCAGACTTCTAACTTCACGTCTGCAAAAAATCAAAGCAATCGGTTTAGTAGTTACGGCGTGAAAGCGGAACAAACAAACAAACTCACTTTCCCATTTATAATATTAGTAAGGATTTTCTGCCACCGGTGTTGACAGGGTGTCCTGGTGGATCAGAGGTCAAGATGGCCGCATAATCTGTTGAAATCCTTTAGGAAGCACGCTGCTCTTTTTACTCCGGTAGCAAATGTTGACTGCACGGTTGGTGCGGTGGCTGGGCAACCGGCTGCCGTGCAACGTGTCGCGGGTTCGATTCCTGCACGGGACAACACTATGTGTGATCCACAAATTGTTGTTCCGGGTCTGGGTCTTATGTGTATGTGAACTTGTATGTTTGTAAACGTACCCACGACACAGGAGAAAATCCTAGTGTGGGGCAACATATACATAATTCAGCTTACATAATTATTATACTTGGCAAATATGTTATCCACTTCCTAAGTGTGGGAGAGCCATGCTTCGGCATGAATGGGCCGGCTCGACCGGAGTGATACCACGGCCGAGCAGAAGACCGAAGTGAAACAACAATGAGTTGTGTTTCGTCGTATGAATGAGGTTACGGGATGCCCTATTACCACCTTTCCCCAATCCCTGAATCCCCAACAATTCTCAAATTCCTTATTCCAAAAGGCCGGTAACGCACTTGTAACGCCCCTGGTGTTCCAGGTGTTCATGGGCGACGCCGATTGCTTACCATCAGGTGATCCGTCTGCTCGTTTACCGGCTTATACCATAAAATATTAGATCTAGAGTGACACAAGCATAGGTACATTTTTCAAATAGAATAAACTAATTTGAAACAAGACAACAGCTTTCATAAATTCACGATGCAATAATAGAGTAGTTTCCTAAATTTTATTTCAATGTTCGTCTGGTACATTAATTTTAAACTTTAGACACGTATTTTTTCTTTTCTCACAAAATTAAATACTTTCGACGATATATTAATTTGAAATATCGTGTGACGTCACATCGTGCCACATTTTGTAGCACGCTATGACGTAACGACCAAGTATTGCAACTTAATACGAGAAAATTAAAATAATACGTGTCTAATATTTTATTATCTAACTGATGGACTAATTTGATTTTTAATTTTGATACCCTGGAAACTACCCAATTATGCGAATAATTAAAATGGTCCCAAACAGTTTTTTAACAATTCTTACAATTCCGACTTA